GAGGCTAATTGCTAATAGACTAGGGCAGTGATAACTAAAACCATACTAAAATCCCTTGATCCCCAGGCCCCCTGCTCCTGCGTGGGCTTCTCTCCACGGGCTGCAGCTCCGGCCTGGGGCCTGCTCCTGCGGGGGCTCTCCATGGGCCACAGCCTCCTCCAGGCCACATCCACCTGCTCCACTGGGGGCTCCTCCACCCATGGGGGGGCTGCAGCATGGAGATCTGCTCCATGTGGGACCCATGGGCTGCAGGGGGACAGCCTGCTCCACCAGGGACCTCTCCACAGGCTGCAGGGGAACTGCTGCTGCATGGCTGGAGCACCTCCTGCCCTCCTGCACCGATCTTGAGGGCTGCTGGTCTTGAGGGCTGTTTCCCTCAGCATTTTCTCACTCTCCTCTCCCAGCTGCCGTTGTGTAGCAGTTTTTTTCCCTTTCTGAAATCAGCTCTCACAGAGGCATAACCAGTGTTTCTCACTAGCTCGGCTCTGGCCAGCAGCAGATCCCTTTTGGAAATGTCTGGAGCTGGCTCTGATCTGACACCGGACTCTGGGCTCTGCTGGGTTCTTCTCGCAGAGGCCACCCTTGTAGCTGCCCGCCCCACTACCAAAACCTTGCTGTGTGATTCCAATACATAAGGTCTGGTTTTAATGTATATGTTTATCCAAATCGTAGAGTTTTAATTTCAAATGAGGCTTAGTATTCAGAAGTTGACGTCAGGAGCTTATCCCTTTAGTTACTTACCGTATAAAAGCTGTATTTAATTGCAATGCCTCAAAATTATATCCTGGGGGAAACTGATAGTCTAAGTTGCTGTAGATGAGTGTTCTAAGTGTGCAGACTGAATAGGTAGTGTCAATAAAAAACATGATTTTTTTTTTCTTCTGAAGATTTGTTTTGTTTTGTTTATTTTGAGTGACTGAATAAAGCTTTGATTCCTTGAAAGAGGAAATAGACATATTATGAGATGTTTTTCTCTTGCTAAAGTGACCTTCTGGAGCACTAGCATCGAGTATGATGTTTTAGTTTACATTGGGCAGTTGCAGGGAAACTGTAAAAAATAAACATTTTTAATCCACAGTAATCTTGTTGCACCACTCTTACTTAGAAACAGTGCTGCGAATGATATTTGTGATTTTTCATGTCATGAACTACTGCTAGTCAAATTAAAAATTACATAAAAATGCTGGGCTCGTTACTGCAGTATCTGTTGCTATCATAAAACATTAAAAGTTGTACTGTCAAGCTTATAATAATGCGCTAAAGGAGAAGCATCTGTAGTATTTTTAACATTTTTAAAAACATAATTATGAAATTAGGCAGTTTATATCTGACTTGGCACTGAAATGTCAAGGGCACAACTTACCAGCTATTACGGTAAGTTTACTTCTGCTTTAGATAGTATTTAAAAGACAGTTGTATGAGTTTTAATTAGGTATGATATTAAAAAGTATTTAAATCTCCTTTTCCATAACTGAAGGAAAAGAGATCATAAAATGTATATTTCTCAAAGGAATTAGTGTGGACTATGCAGCTATCTTCAAGTTGACTGGAATTACTAGTTCTAGAATGTCAAAAGATTGATACACTTGACTAATTAGGAAGCCCCTTGGGACTGGTGACAGCAGTCTGCAGCAGCTTGCGAGAGCTGATTTAAAGGTCCCATAGGAAGTGTTAATATTGAACAATACTTTCCACTCTTACACTATCACAATAGCTGTGTTGTACATTGTTCTCCTAGGGCAATTTAAAAGATTTCTAAAGTACTGCACAGTATACATTCATTTGTTAAAATTTCCATTATATAAACTTGGGCAAGGTTATAGATAGCCAATAACAGTATGGGTATTAACAGCTGCACAACATTATAGAAGGTGTTGAAATCAACTGTTGGTTTAGGCATCAAGAAACAGAATTTGGAGCCTAACTGAAAGTGTAGAAGCTTGAAAAACAGGCTTTCTACATGTTTTGGGTACAGAACATTAACTATAAATATTTCTATTTGCAATTGTTAAAGGTTCTTCAATATAGCTCTGCACAGTGTAAAATTACTAGAGGTGTGGGGTTTTTTTGTATTTTTTATTCAAGTTTTATATACTGCTATTTATTTTTCTGTGAACTGTTTTGCATGTCAATGAAAACATTAGTCTCTAGTTGAATTTCTGACTACAGTATATTTCAGATAAGTGTGAAAAATAGATGGTACACTTCAATGGATGTGTTCCAGCTATGCAACAAAAAGTTGTTTTTGCAGTATTTTTATTCTATTATTTATTTATTTATTTATTTATTTAATATAGTATAGCAGATTATGCACCAGGTTTTGTACTGAAAAGTGTTACGTTTTTGAAATAAGTAGGAATCCATGGTAGTCATGGAAAGGCTTAAAAAGGAAAACGGTAACATGCTGAAATAGGATTGAAAGCAATTTTATTTTTTCTGTTACTCCTACTGCCTAAAACAAAGTTTATGAACTCTTCTTCTATAAACATTGATGGTATTTTGGGGATTGTGATATTACTGAGTCTTTTTTGAATTGCTGTCTCTCAAAATGTTTTTAAACTTTCCTCCAACATTCTTGTACCTTAATTTAACTAACAGTTTCTTCCTCAAGCATCACTTTGGGTTGAAACACTCAGAGTGTTTTCATTTGAGACATGAATATTAGAGAGTTGCATGAGACCAGATGGAAAAAGGAAAGGGGAGGGGGGGGAACACACAACAACAGGAAGCTGAATACATGATCTGAGTAATTTTTAAGGTATGTTCCAATTAGTAGCTGTGCTGGTTGCACTAGTCATGAGAGAGCAAACTTCAATGTAGTAAAGCATATTATACTATATTCAAAGGAAGAGAAAAAATCAGTATTTCAGTCTTCACATTTATTCTGTATCTGCCATGTATTGCATAGAAAATAAATGAGCTTAAACATTATACAAAATTATAAACTATTTGCTAATTTTCCGTTATTTCTCCTTGTAGATAGAGGTAAGCTCTTTAAGTTAACTGGTCCAGTAGTTTGGGCTAGAGAAAAGAGTATAACTAAGGATGTTCACAGATTAGAGTTTTGTCATTTTGAGGACCGGTATCTTGGGGTAGTAGGAAGGAAGAGTGTTCTCCTTAGGGGAATACTTCTAGGAAATTCAAAACCTGAAAACAAAATTATTCTCTAAAATACATTTGTAGAATTAGCAAAAATTAAAAAATGGCTAAAAGCTCAAGTGAAAGGAACAGAAGTACTAATGAAGTGCACTTTGTTAAGTGGTAATGCAATTGTACAAAAACAGCTTTAAAAAAATATTTTTAGTCTGTATGGAAGCAATGAAGTAGCTGCTGATGTTATAGAAAAAATGTCAAAATGTTTAAGAAAATCTAATTTAATTTTGAATCAATGTTATAGAACATCTGTTGTGAGCTTTACATATGTTTATATGTGTATTTCTCTGGAGTTTTTGAAAATAGAAACTCTTATTACCTTTAATGAAATAGTTACCACCATTTGGCTCTAAGTCATATCTGAAGATCATTTTTCTTGTGGACAGGAAAGCTCAAATTTTGAGACAAGGACTGTGTTTGGTTGGTGGTTGTTTTTTTAACTAATGATTTGTGTATCTCAGTTCACAAAATCTCGTGCCTCTTTTTGGAATGCTTTCTTCTTTGGCTTGTGAATGATATCCAGGCTTAGATTCTTGGAAGCCAAATTAGATTAAACACTTGACTTTGTAGAGTAATGAAAGTAAATATGTTGTTTCTAGAATGTCATATTCATAATTTGGCCCATGCTGATTTGACAGTTCTTTGTCAGGCCATCCTGTCTGTAACTTTGAACTTCTTTTGTCTTATTTATTTTGTTGCCCTTGAAACCACATATCTTAGAAAGATGATAGAATTCTTTAAGCCTTAACAAAAGATGGAATTCCTTTAAAGAAGGGAAACAAATAGAAATACATGTAGTATTTGGAAGAAACATTTCTCCTAATAGTTTTCCCCATATTCATGTCTAGAAGGTTGTCTTCCTTCCTTAGTCGTAGTCCATCACTTTCAGAATTCCTTAAATCAGTAGTATCTCTTCTCTAGCTGGATTAGATTCTGATCTGAATATTACTGTTAGCAATAACTGCAGAATCATGTGATGTGTCTGACTGTATCCAAGGTGTATGTTGACCTTGGGAGTTTTGCCTAGTGAGGCATAATGAGTTTTCTGTCATGTAATTCTTTATTGCTCTGTGGAGGTTTTTCATCGTATTGGAAATCTGTGGTGTTGTGTTCTTCGTCCTCACGGGTGTGGAGACAAGGGGCTAATAAGGTTCAGAAATCTAAGCTTTTCTGATGTTTTTATTTGAGGAAATAAAAGTAAGGTTTTTAATGCTTGCGATTAATTATAATCTCATGGTAACATTCATAATTCTTTCAGGGGAATATTATACATATACATGTGGTACGATGAGTAGAATTTTCCTGAACTACATCAATTATTTAATATTGGCTACAGGTTATTAAATATAAAAGGAAAATGGCTTTTGATTAAAGCTACCTATGGATAACACTCTGTATCCTACCTAGTCCAATATTGTTCCTTCAGCTTCCTGCTGAGAAACAATTTCAACTTTTTATAACAATAACTGAAATGATCTCTTTTGTCTAATATAGCAAATCATTTAAGGGACAGCTCTCAAAAGCTGACATGAAACTGATTATTTGCAGTTGCAAAAGGGTGCTGAAATGAAAATATGAGTGAAATGACATTTCATTTAAAACTACAGTAGAGAAAGAATGAATGTGAAATGAATGGAATAAAATTTGGCCTAAATGTAGAGAGGACCAAATCCATTCTGCTTAGTTGTGAGAAAGCTATTGTTAAATGTTAAAAGCCAGGTTAAGTTTGAAATAAGTAGTTTTAGTTCTACCATCAATATCTTCTATTGTTGTTCATTGTTGTTATTATTTATGCTTTGATGTTGCTGTGGTAATCAAAGAGTGTTCCTTCCCTCTCTCTGCTACAGAAGGTGAGGAGACTGGAGTGATGGATAGCCTGCTGGAGGCCTTGCAATCAGGTGCAGCTTTTCGAGACCGAAGGAAAAGGATACCAAGGGCTAAAGGTGAATATTACATTTTACTTTTTACTTTCCAGAAAAAGTTAAAAGTATAATTGGTCCAGTGCTCCGGAACCTAAATGCTGTCGTGTTTAATTCTTTTTTTCTGCGGTGACATCTTTCAGGGATGTTCAGGCTGTTTTGCTGTTGTCCATAGTGCTTTGGAGATCAGTGTACTGAACTTAGCATAGCCTGATTGTTAACTCTCTTCCATACAGCCTTGTGTACTTTACATTTTGGGGGTTTATACTAACAACAGTTGAATGGGGGAGGTGAAAATCATCTTGCCCTGCCAGTGCATCAGATTACTTCACTTATATTAACTGTAGCTATACAACTAGAAATGTCTAACTTTAAAATATTTCTGCTTGCTAATGTTGTTGCAATACTACAGTAACTTTCAGAGACGTGTTTTATTTCTATTGTTTTCTTGCTTTTGCAGACATACCACAAAATGTCAGTCCAACCACACAGAGGCCTGTGCTGAAAGCTTGTAACCATGGTAATGAACCATATTCATGAATTGCATGCTCTTCTTAACTTAGCTTATGTAGTCGATCTGTGCTTTCAAAAGATTGCCGTGATATTTTATGTTTTCTACATTAGTGGAATATGAAATAGTATTGGAACCTGGTTCTTAAGGTTCACATGGATATTACACCCTTAAACAGTACTTGCTGATTACTTTGCAAATCTCTTCTATCTTTTTTAGATTTTTTGTATTTATTTATAATTTGATTATGGTTTAAAATGTAGTACTTTGATCCTTAAGATCCTTAAGAACAATAATGCAGGGATTTTTTTTTAAAAAAAAAGATTATGAACTGTGTTAGAAAGCAAAGATTGTGGAACATTTCAAATGTTTAGTATTTTTGATACCAAATTAGAAAACCTTTTCAATTTATTCTGTTTGTCTTGGTTTTCTTGGTAATACAGGTAGTCCAGGTATAAGCTATCATTTACCAGTAATTCAGAAGTGATGTATCAGTAAAGAGGAAATTAATCGGTTATTTTATAGTAAAATATTTCTCCAAATGTTGAGCATGAGTCTTATGCATGTGTTTATGCATAAACTCCTGAAAAAATCCCACTGAATCAGTAGGACTGCTCCTATGGATAAAGTTACAGTGAGGGCATGGGTATTTTGTCACTCTGTTATATAATCTATAGAACATTAGCTGTGTTTTAATAAAGCCTGAGGAGTATGGAACATGTTTTCAGTGGTTCCTAATATAGTGGTCTCAAGAAAAAGTTTTACATAGTATCTCCGTTAAATAAAAATTCTTATTGAAACTTAAAGAAAAAAAAATCTTGATTCTCAGATTTGTAAGCAGAATGCATTCTCTTGATATTTAAATAAACTTCAGAATTTATAAAGCAGATGCCACCACATTGAGGATATTAATTATACTTCATGTTTCCTACATGTTTATTTCTTAAGTGACTAGAGTAGAAAAAAGAAAATACAGATTTTGTCATTATTAAACACAAAATCAAATAAAATAGAGCTAGAAGGACAGCTGAAAGATAATTTAATTCACTTCTAGGAATTGGCCCAAGGAAGAATGAAGTATATTTGACAGGTGCTTGTCTGGCACATAATATATTGATATTTAAATAATGACTACAGAGCACATCTGAATTTATCCTATAAGTGTTACCGCTTGTAAGAATAGTTATGTTGAATGTTGCTTCTTTTCAGACCATTCTATCTTTCTATCTCCAGTTTCCAGTTTTCAAACTATAAATGCATTTGGACAAACATGAGGGCTATGTTTTATGTTCCAGGTGAAAAAAATAAATAAAAAAACAAAGACTAAAAATTCTGCAAAACCTTCACACTGATTTGTGCCATCTGATGGATATAATTTGGTACTCAAGTTTAATTAAGGATCAGATGTTTGTTTTAGAAAAGTAAAAGCAAACTCTTGGATGTTTTGTTGTTTTTACGGTAGTCACTTTTCCATAGAGTGTCATGAGACAATCTTATTCTAAGACATTTTAGAATGAATCCAGCTTTTGTTGCACCTGTCTTGTTTGCTATGAAACTGGATAAATACTATCTTAAACTTATTTTTAAGGAATTCAGTAGTATGTTCTTGATTTGCAGACACTTGTCACAATATCTATATGTTGCTTCTTCCTATCTTGAGCCAAACAGAGCACTGAACTTGATGTTGTTTCTGGGGAGTTTAATCATAAACTCTACATGGTCATTGAGTTCATCTATTAGACTTTTCTGTTCGTTTTCTTTTTTCTTTTTTTTTTTTGACTATTCAAAGCCTAAGTTGAAAATTTGCTGGTTGATAATTTATTTTGTTAGTGAATCAGAAATTATGTAGGTTGTATTCTATCTAGAATGTATGCTAGACCCTCAGTAGCAAAGCTTGTTTGTTGCCTCACTAAAGTTAGTAGTGTGGCTGATCAAACCAAGAATTATAAGGCTTCTTTAATTTTCTGGTATCAAGGAGTTGAGTATTTTATGTAAGTTTTATTTCAGTTTTGTCCTCTTTGTAATTTTTTTTGCACTTTATGTCTAATGTTGATAAATACTGCAATAACCTATTCTTTCTATGTATATATGCATATTAGGTAATGTATACTATATATGATGGTTTATTTTCCATAGCTCATTTATGTATACACTGTATAAGCAAGAAATCTCTGATTTCAGCTCACTTAAGAAAAAAATAGAATATGTCATCAGACAGAAAGATTGGCTTGCCCTGTCATTGATTTTTTGTTTTTCCCAATGTGAAATTTCAAATGATTGCTAAATTTTATATCAGAGTGCCTACAAAGCCACTAGCTTAAAATATGTGGAAAGTGATAAAGCACTTTTCTTGTTTGCTTCTTCTGATGAGACTAATAGATTCACTTACAGTGAGTATGCTTTATTAATACACACTGCAGATTCAAACCTGGGGTGTACTTCTTCAACTCATAGTGCAGTCAAAAAGAATTACAAGTCAGGAGTTGAAATATCTACCTACTGAATCATTCAGAGTGTAGCAATCTCTATTGGGCAGATGGCATCAAGTTCTAACTAATATATATGTTTAAAAAACAAACAAAAGCTCTTTAGTCTAAATTTTTCTAAAAATGTGGAATAGAAATTGTACACCAATGCAGATGGGAGGTAGAAAGAAGTGGCTTCACGTTTCATAGGGAATGGCAAGGTAGAGAATGCCCACTCTGTCCATAGCTATAATATAAATGGCAGCAGGACAGAAATTTATTTAACTATTGCCATTGTTATCCTCAGTACGATGCTGCTCAAAGTAACAAACTACCACTTACTGGTGAGGCTGAACCAAGTTCTATTAAAAAAATAGAAAAAGAATGCAAAGGAGCAAGCCAACACTATGTAGCATGTAGAACTGAGAACAGAAATTTCTTCCTTTAATTAAATGGACTGGGAAAAAAAGGAGGAGGAGGAAATTTTGTGAAATGCTAGCCACTGGTTGGCCATTTTTCTCATGATGATCCTTTGGGCTCTACAGAAACCTCTGATAGTATTCAGTTGTTATTTCTGATTTAAAAGGAGTACTGGTTCTTGTGCTGCTTCCTGGAGTGGCCTCTTGGGTGTATTTTATTTTCAGTCCTACTACACTCTTATTAAATAGATCGCCTTTTTTCATAACATGGTGTATGTTTTTGTTTTGGTTTGGTTTTGGTCATTTAGTTCTATTCTTATTTCTGTGATCAGAATTACCTAAAGAATACAAATCTTTTCACTTGATCTTTGTTGATGTTGATATGATGTTGATATGATTGGTATATCTATTTCCTTTGTTTCCATTAATGCTGTTTTGTTCTGTTTTATTAACAGTTGTATTACATATACACTCAAAACTGCCTGTTAACGTTGCAGTTAGCTTTAACTGAAAAGAACCTCAAGGTGCAGAACTATTGCAGTATATGCTTTTGCTGTAATTCCTGTTCATACTACTGTATGACACAAGTAGCATGTTAGTATAGTTTTAGTGTCTTTGTATTTCTGTAAGGTTTTGATTCAGACTCATCTAGCGGGGAAGCTTTTTATTTTATTAGGAGAGCAGAAGAAAGCACTTAGTTATCAGTCATCAGGATTTTTCACATTAGAAGATCTTTTCAAGCAGCTAATACCTAAGGTTGATCTGAGTTTATCAGTTATTTACAACAACAGTCAAGACACATTAGCAACTTGCTTGTTTATTTCAAGCTAGTTATGTTCAAATACACATAGCACCATATCCAAGCAGCTCAGAGCCCATTGCAGCACAGAAAGCTGCATTATTCACTAAGTTTTCAGTCAGGCTTTGCAGCCTGCATCAAGTTCTCTGCTGCTATGGCTACGCATTTATTTGCAGTAACATTAACCAAGGTAATGTTATCTGAAATGCATAAATACAAATTCTAGATACAGCTTTGATTGCACATATATATATCTCAAATGAAGTGCAAAGTGTTTTTCTTTACAAGTAAGTTGTATTCAAAATGCTGTGAGTAAAGAAAAGCTACAGTAAAATGGAAGTAGAAAGGCAGGTTGCTTTTTGTGACTGCAAAGGTTGAAAGAAATCTTTCTTTTGCAGTCAGCTAGGTTGTGGACTACACTTACAAAGGTAACAAGAAAGTCTTGCTTCTATTTTAAAAACAAAATTACATTGTAAGGGCTAGTCTTAATTACTGTAGCTTTTTGTTCAGTAAATATATAAACAATAGAATAATTTTCATGTCATATTTAGTCTGAAGCATTTTAAACACCTCTGTTAAATAAAACTCTTGCCCAGCAGTGTCATTCTGGTCCCAATTAAGCTGAAGAAAACCCTTTTTTCATGTTCTGTGTTTTTTTTTCATCTCTTATTCATAATAGAACTGTCATCTGAGGTTCACATTAGTGTCTCTGCTACCTTATTTTGACAATCATAGCTGGCAATGAGCTCAGGCTCATCTTAATTCTTGAAACCAATACTGCAACCACTTGGAGGTCACTATTTTATTTCAGCATCGCTGTATTTGACAGCATATGATGATAGACATTTGAACCTAATTTTTCCTTATTTTTTCTTAAATTTATGTATGTTGCTGTCTTTTCCATAACTGTATCTAGTGAACGTTAGGGATGTACCTAACACTGGAGAAGCACTGAAGCCTGTTAAGATATTTTTTTTTCCAGTACATGTTGCTTAACCCGGAGCACTAAAGATGAATTCTTGAACATCATCAGTTCCTTATGGTTGATGCTGTTTTTAAGGCATTATGCATGTTAGCCTGTTCTTTCCATCTGGCTAAATGTTTTTAACTCACATATGGAAAGAAGGTAGAGATTTTATTTTTTTATAAGGATTTGTAAAGGTTTACTCAACAGACTAGTTTCCTCAATGGGAGACTTGGAATATCTGTAGGCACTGTTATGAAATGGAAACATTTAATAGGATTTCTATTAAAAAAAAATAGTTCTCAGTTTTTCCCATTTTAAGTCCAAAGCTTCACTTCAATATTGGCTTCATAGGTCAAGTA